TTACTTGGTGAGTACCCCGAGGAACAGCTTAAAGCAACTGAGCATAATTAAAACCTTCATGTTCGTTCACCGTTCGTGAGATTATTTAGACGTTCTTTCCAAATTGAATCGATACGAAGAAACATAAAGGGCTCCAATTTTTGCGATATGATTTTTCAGTGCTCGTACTTTTTCTGGACTGATTGACTGATGATTGACTAGTCAAAAAGTTCTTATAGATATAGCCTATCACTGACACTGAGACATAATTCCTATCTCAACGAGCTGTTAAATTTATTCGTAATTAGACGGCTGAATGCCTGACGCTAATTCCTATTTGCATGGAACCCGAGCGCCCAGTTGTATTTACTGTTTGTGTTATTGACCAAGCGTGAGATAAAGATGGATGGATATTAACCAAGTTCTTTTTCCGGTGTTTAAATCTTGATTGGAAGTCGTAGAAAACAGCAAAAATGTTCTCGGAATAGTCATGGAGAGTCGTGGAATTTCATACTTTAATTAAAAGAGTACAAACCATGCGTGTAGACTCAGTTGATAATTGATGTACATGATTATTTCACCAACATTGTAATATTTTCTAGGGTGTATCTGGTGCTATCATTTTTGTAGCGGTATGGCTAATTAAAAAGTATGGCGACATTACAAAGATTACAACTGATGAGTACACTTTGGTACCATGTGGAATCCTAGTTGGAGTGGGTGTCCTGATCTTTATCACTGCCTTGTTTGGTTGCTGTGGAACATGCCGTGATAACAAATGCTGTCTGTCCGCGGTAAAACCTTGATTAACTTAACATGTGATTGAACTGCATCTACAAGAAAACAAAATAATTATAGTAATAATTTTGATAATAAATATTCAATTTTGATGAAGGAAGATGCTAATTATGTGTAATGTGTGGAACATAGATTTGTAGATATGTACCATTGATTTTTGCCACAGAGCTTCAAACTTAATATCCAGATACCCACCAACTGAAATACAGAGAACTTTTTGCTGAGCAAGGCTATATATTAGCTTTATATCTGGCCAGCTTTCTGCATATTGCTAAGATCAGCAATGTCAAGAGCACTATACGTACTTCATAGAGGGTCTTTTGTTCCTGGCAGGGAATATTAATTTGGGGCCTTCATCTGACAAGAAGTGTTTGATTTATTTTACAACTTATTTATTTGGAACTATTATGCAAAATCTAATAAGTGTATGAAAATTAAAATCCAATTTTAAGAAATTATTATATATAAGAGACACAAGGATGTTATGATATGCAGTGAGTGTATGATCTTTTACCTTGCAGTTTTTTGCACTACTTCTCATTGTGTTTGCATTGGAGATTACAGCAGGTGTCTTAGGATATATCTACAAGGATAAGGTACATTTTTTTAATGTAAGGTCATGTTTTCTTTGGTAATAATAACATACATGTATCCTTTATAAAACATACAATAGTATGAGGAGTCAGGTCGCAAACAAAAAATTATTGGTCACAATCAAGCTAAAGTTCCCCTATCTCCCCTAGGAGATAATGAAAATTGTAAACTTAAGAAGTTGACATAGCAGGTTTCAGTAGTATGGATGATATCTGTTTACCCACAGTCTAACTCAATCAGGTCTGAGAGAAAAATATGAAACAACGTAATACATTCTTTAAGTCCAACTGCTCTGTACATTTTATTTGATGGATTAACAAATAATATGCAGGGATATTTGGCAGGTTGTGAAGTATTTTGAGCAAGGAAAAATTAGAGCAATGAGCAAATTGTCTGCTCATATTAAATGTTGAACCATCCAAAAGGAATTCATTATTCCACTATTATTTCACTTTTTAATATTTTTATTGTAGTTGCAAAATACAGCCTTTGGCCCTATCTTTGCATTTTCTTAATAGAATAAGGAGTATGCAAAAGACAAATTTGAAACAACACAAACAAAACCATTAAAGTGTTCTTTATGATCAACTAAAACAAGATATGTTGTGCTGAAAAGTTCATTTCTTACAATTCAAACAAAAAACAAATCAAAGGACTCTTGGAGCTAGCTCATCAATGTTATGGCTTAAGTTTGCATTGATTCCTGGACTTGCTGAATTTAGGTACAATTGAATTCGGTTTATGTGAACTTTCAAGACTTTTGGAATACATTTTCTTTTATTTTTGGGCAGCCACGAAAGCAATGCTTTGCTTTTCCCTATAAAAATTTATGAAAAACTTGCCAGTTCCTCTTGTATAGAAACAACAATATAGGGCACATATGTGAAAATCAGTGTGTGTACAGCTCTGAATAGTGGCATCTCATTTACATCTACATCTACATCTACTTTCATTTAGTTGGTAAATTCTGTATAGACATCACACCAACCAACTCGCATGCAAATACTATACTAATACTATATGATGCCTTGAAATTATATTATGAGCAATTGTGTGACGCTTGGTAAGTTGTAAGATGAAATGTCATCATGTTTAAGACGAAAAAACTGTATAAATTCTCAGTCTGCATTCTGTACCCGGTCTGCAGTCTGCAGTCTGCATTTTGTACCTATTCAGCATTTTGTACCTGGTCTGCAGTCTGCATTTTGTTTTGACCAGATTGGTTATTGGTTTGAGCAAGCTTCAAGTCCAGACTGAAATATTGGGGCTCTAAAAAAATTTTTAGTGAGACTATCTTGGGGAGGGGTAGTATGCAAGACTACTTCCGTTCATAGTCCACAGTGCAACTTTCATCCACGGAATACAACTTCTGTCCATGGTTAAGAACTTCCATCAACATCTGCTTCACCACAACACCTCATTCATTGCTTTCAGCATGAATGAGTGAAAAACACCAAAGCTTAGATTGCTAAGCAAGGTGATTTATAGGGTAGTACCATATTTGGCGTTTTATTATGACTTAATTTGGTAAAACGACATAGTAGTGGAATGCTATTGTCCAATATTATGTGATATGATGGAGCAAATAATCTTTGTGTCTGATCAAACCAGGCTTTAAAAAATTTTAACTTTAGAACAAGGGGAAAGAAGTCATCTTCCCATCTTTAGATTTGTCCACTGCACCCTAACCCTCAGCTGTAGTTTTTAATCCCCTCACTGTCTGATTTCAACCTTTACCCCCAGTGAGTACCTTCTCCCTTATATCTTTGCCCTTCACCCTTTCCTCTACCCTTAACCTACATTTTAGCAACATCACACCCTAAACTTTATCTTTGATTGAGTGGTTTCAAATTGAGTGTCAAGGTATGTTAGTTGTTTTCTTTCCTTGATAATATAACAAATAGAGTGGGGAAATACACATAACTGCTGTCTAGCTTTTAAGAGACTACTTATTAACAAGTAGGTGACATCCACTTTTTTTTGTTTCTGTCTTAAGGCTAAAAGCTTTGTGCAGGATGGTTTCCAGGATGCAATTGAGCATTATGATGATAAAGACACAACTTTAGATAAAGCTGTAGATGGACTCCAGAAAAATGTTAGTGTATTTACTTCATATAATCCAAGTAGAACTGAATCATATTATGGGGAGCTCTCATCCCAACAGAAAAACCCTTTATTGCTGGAATAAACAATTCAAAACATGACATGCACTGTATAATGATTTGTAAATCTGTCTGAAAGCTCTTGCCTTATTAAAATCCATGTAGATAAAGCACCTAAATTTTGGTTTCTGCATGCATCCATGCATGTCAGAAGGGTGTCCTGAATACAGATTCTTTTTCAATTCATATCATGGGAGAAATGAATTGGGAATCAGTTACAGGTTTCACTCAATTGACTGATCAAAATGTGAAACCAAAAAAATTATGTATATGTGGACAGCAAAGAAATTGTTATAAAATATCTAAGAAATATTTTTACTGACAGTGTTTTATCCTAAGGATCTCTCTGTACAGCTGGTAACCGGTCGTTTCGCCAACGAGTTGTTTCACCAACGTCTCTGGTCAGTTTGCAAACGTGTAGAAGTCAGTTCACAAATGTTTAGAAGTCAGCTTGCAAATGTTATAAACATTTCACCTATGTCACTAAGCAGCCATGTTAATATTCCATCCCAAGGTGGCAGCATTTTTATCCCATGTCTGTATCACGCAAAGGCTGTGATAGAGCAGAATCAACTACAAGACTGTATAACTTAAGCTAGAGTTAGTTTTTATGCTCAAACGTTGACATCTCAAATCTACGAAGTGTGTGAACTGACTTCTACATAAATGTTTATAACATTTGCAAACTGACCTCTAAACGTTTGCAAACTGACTTCTACACATTTGCGAACTGACTAGAGACATTTGTGAAACAACTGTTGGTGGAGTGAGTCGTTGGTGAAACAACAGACATCTGTACAGCTATGTTAACAAAACTGAATATTTATGTTTTGCAGCTGAAATGTTGTGGCAATGAGAAACCTACTGATTGGTCTCCATATGCTTTGAAACATCATGGCCAATACCCTCAGTCCTGCTGTCCTCCAGCAAGGTTGAAATGTACAAAAGTCAATGCATATGATAAGGTAAGAACCAGTAATAAAGTCTTTCCTTTTTGCCCATCAACTGTCATATTCTGGTCTCCATCTACCTTCCAGCAACCACCAAGGAAGTAAGATTTATACAACCCACATACCTCAGGATGGTAAAACTAGAGGAGTGACTTGTACTGCTATGGCTAACTCTTCCAGCCTTATTTACAAAATAAAAACTTACCACTGAATTCCATTAATAATCTTATATGCCCCCTGTGACTTATTCATTTCAAAGGCTTCCAGATGTGGGTTGTTAGGAGAAATTCTTTCTTGGCCACTTATGGGAATTAAAGGGTTAAGTATCTACTACCCACAAAGTAAAATGGAAACAGGAAACAGGTACAGGCTTTTGAGTTGAAAAGCTACCTAGCCTCTATGTATAACAACTACTATCATTTTGGTGATGTTATTTAAGGGGGAATGGTAGTCAGGAGAGAACTGGGCTTCTTAGTGAGAAGGAATCTTATTAATTATTTATGGTATTTGTACATTGTATGTAGGGCTGCTTGAAAAAATTGACTGAGGAAGTTGAAGACAACCTTAGTTACATTATGGGGTCAGGTATTGGACTGGCTGTGCTTCAAGTAAGTACCAATTACATTGGCAGAAATATTGCCATTCAGAGTGAATATTTCATTGAGAATTAAAGAGTATGAGTTGTTTTGACTTTACCTGAAGTATGATTTGGATAGAATTTTACTTTGGTATATGATTATCTCTAAAAACAGGTTTTCCTATAGTTGGGAGAGAGTTTTTTTTATCCCATGCAATATTCATATCCCCTTCCCTTCAAGGTACTTTTTTTTTTCGGCTGAACCACAACCTCTGCCTAACTTGTCCTTTTGATGTAAAAGTGTTGTTTCACTTTTTCTTCCAAACCCTTGCAAATTATTTTTCTTGGGATTTCCAGTAACCTAGTTATGCATGATAGGATGAGATAAAATATACTTTTAGCATAAGTCTTGTTGACAGCATGAGGTGGTAACTCACTCTCATTTTGTTGTGTGATTTCTCACAGCTAGTTCTTTATTTTATATGGAGCAATTTATTCAATTTGAAGGTAGGAGACAACCTATAATCATCTCCTTTATCAACAGCTGCTGGGAATGATTGGAGCATGTTCCTTGATGTGTAGTCAGCGGTCAGGATACCTTCGAATGGAGGGTGGATTGCGAGTCTGATCAGATGGATTCTCACAGC